ATTTATAATAAAAACATAGTAAGTGTACTCAAACTTTTGGAAGCAACTGTATAATTTTTTTTTTGAATAATTGATAGTATATATGTAATATTTTGTATTGTTTTGTGATTGATCTTGGGATTAATTATAGAGATGTGATTTGTTTTTTATTACTGCTACATAGGATTCTAAAGAGTTTGAGATTTTTTATTATAACAAATTTGTATATATTATATTCTTTTTTTTTCTTTTGTTTTTATATAGTTTTAACTTTGTAATTCAATAGTTTATAAATAATTAATTCAATCAATTACTAATAATAATTTTTTACAAAAATTTTTTTTTTAAGAAAAAAAAAAATATTTTTTACTAAATTAAATTTAATATAATCTAAAAATATACAGTATATTAATAATAAGTTAATAAAGTTTATCTTTATATAAAAATTTATTAATTTTTTAAATATTATTATATTAAATAAAATAAATTAAAATAGTTTAATTATTATACAAAAAAAAAAAAAAAAATTTTTTTTTAAATAATTTAATTATTTTTTAATAATTTAATTTAATTTTTTTTTAAAAAAATAAATTATTAATATAAATAAACAGTATAGTTAATAAAATAATTTAAATATTTTAAATTATTTAAGTAAATTAATTAATTAAATTAATTTGTCATTATATTAATTATTAATATTCAAAAATTTTTAAAATTTTTAATATTATATTTAGTTGATAGTATTATAATAAATTACTTATTTTTTAAAAAATCACAAATTTAATAATTTTAATTATTTAAGTTTTATTCTTTTAAAAATAATTTTAATCTGTCTAAAATTTTAAAAATTCCTCAATTTATAAAATTTTTTAGCTTGCCTTCTTTGAAATTTAAAATTAAAAACGAATTTTTAACAAATTTTATATCAAAATATCTAAAATATCCGTTATATTAGCACTGGCAATCAAGAAAAGAATTTTTTTTATTCAAAAGGCAACGCGGTCACGGGATTCGATGCAGTAACGATATAAATTAAAAAAAAAAAAAAAAAGTTGCCGATTATCATCAATTTTCCTTCTACAAATAAAAACATCAAAATTGTCTTGCCTGAAAATTTTACCGCCTTCAGGTCGACTTTTAATTAAGTCAGGACCGCGCTTTAAAATATTTAAAATATTTTCACTTCATCATAAATTTTCCACAACTCCACGCACAAGGATGAAATCATACATACAAATTTTAGGTAGCGGAACTGTCGACGTGTCACCGTCGGTGTTGGTACACTTCGACGATCAGAGATATCTGTTTAATTGTGGCGAGGGAACCCAAAGATTTTGTTTGCAGAATAAAATAAAAATTTCTAAAATAAAAAGCATTTTTTTTACGAGGATACACTGGGAATGTTTCGGCGGACTTCCAGGTAATTTAACGTATAAAATTCTAAAATTGATTGGTTTGATTCAATTGCTTACGTGTTTTCTCCATCCTTGTTAGGCATGCTTCTTACAATGGCTGACGCTGGTTCACAGGAAATAAAATTATTTGGCTGTACGAACTTGACGCATGCGCTGGCGGCAACTAGGGGTTTTATTTTAAGGCAAACCTAAGTGAATTTTATTAAAACACATTCTCCGCTATCACTTGAAGTCAATTTTATCGAACAACTTAAATATAATTATTAGATCTACTATGTCTGTTAATACTCACGAATTTCAAGAAGATGGCATGGAATTCAATGACAAGAATTTGATGGTTAAAGCAATTTTTCTCAATCCTGATGATTCGATCTCTTCATCCTCATCACAAGGAAAGATCAATCTTCCATTGAAACATCCCAGAGAGGAGAATGAGTATGATCCTGCATTAAAATACAAAAAAGAGATTTTGTCATTGATGTTTAACCAAAGCCAGAGGACTTGTAATTCGAAGGCATCGGCGTCTAAAAAATCGAGAATCTATGAAGAAGACATAGCACTAAGTATTCCCGATGAAGGGTCAGAAGAGTATTCTTCATCGTTAAAAAATAATGACACAAATGATTTGAGTCGAAGACGTAAAGAGTTGTTTCCCAAAAAGTTGCCTAAATCAAAACCATCGAAAGTTTCTGTCGCTTATATATGTAAAGGACCAGATTATAAAGGAAAATTTATTCCTGAGGCAGCCAAGGCACTTGGTTTGGCACCTGGGCGTCAATATGGTATAATTCGCCTTTTTATCCTTGTTTCGATTTGATCCCCTACTGATCTAATTATATAAAATTGACCATTAAATAGCTGATCTGGTTAAAGGAAAATCCGTAACAACGCCCGATGGAACGATAATTCATCCACATCAGGTCATTGGACCGTCTAGAGCCGGCTTGGTAATTTCATGCCTTGCTTTAATTTTTAATAAATTACAAGTTTATTTATTTCTCTAATTATGTAGATATTTATTGTTATCGATGTACCTTCGACATCTTATATATCTTCAATATGTAAATCTCCTGAATTGTCTATATACCAATCTGGAAGTAAAGAATTGCAGCCTCGTGTCATATTTCATATGTTAGGAAATGACGTTTTAGAGGATTGTAGATACCAAGAATGGATGAATAAGTTTTCTCCCGAAACTGAAGTATTGTTCGTTTTTTCTTTTTGAGTTTTTCTCAAAGATAGATCTTAATAATTTCTCGTGTCGTTTATTTTATATAGCACGTTATCATAAATGAAAAATATTGTCCACAGAGGATTATGTTTTACAGTTCGGCAATTAGCCAGCTTAAGTTATCCAAAATTGATGAGAAGCAATTTCACATTCCTTATTATTCCAATGAACCTCTCTCAAAATTGGACTTGGGTTAGTATCAATCATTCCAAAGAGAAAAGGAAAAAAATTCTTTCTGGTGGCATTTTCTTATATAAGATTACTATTTGTAATGTGTATTGTTTTCTCTTTTTAGTACCTAATATTCCAGTTAACTCGAAAATTTCCGCGCCATTGTTAATTTATCAAACCGAGCCATCATTTAAAATTGACGAATCCAATTTACCACGTACTTTTGATCATATTGATCAAAATTCCGAGGCGGTGAGATCTCTGAATGATATGGAAGAATATCTAAATGTTGCAAAGCAAGTGCAACAAGAGATTGCAGTTGCGTCGCCTAACATGCAAAATTTTCCAGGAAAAGACATTACAATCATAACACTTGGAACTGGGTCAACTCTTCCTTCAAAGTATAGGAATGGTAACTATCTTTTTTAAATTATTTGAAAATTCATTTCATTTCATTTCAGTTAATTTTTGGATCGAAATTTATCAGTAAGTTCAACACTTATATCCATACCTGACAATGGAAATATTTTGCTTGATGTTGGAGAGGGGACATATTCGTCGCTTGTCAGGCACCTTGGCTCATATGGCGAAATTAATGGGGGACAAACAGGAGTGAATGAATTCCTTAATAGCTTAAAGTGTATTTTCATATCACACATGCATGCCGATCATCATCTTGGTTTAATTCGCGTGTTGTCAAAGTGGAACGAGGTGAGTATCGTTTCTAGTTGGAATAAAAAATCGTATTTCATAACATTTATTCGATGTAATTTGCATTATCCTGCCAAGATAATAGCTTCACAATGATGATAACAATGTCTTGATCCATGTTATTGGTCCTTCAAGATTATGGAAGTGGCTTAATGAACTTAGCGATGTTCAAGACTTCGGGTTATCAAAGATAAGGTTTATAGATAATCGAGATATCTTATTTCACCGACAGTTAACCGGCTCATCTTTAAGGAGGTATGAAGCTATATATATATACCTATAATTTTTTTTTTTCTTCTCTTTTTTTAAAAAAAAAATAAGCGCGTATGGTTTCTTATTTCATCAGTTCAACCTTTCAGCTTGCAGAAATTGAAACGAAACATCGGCCTCAAAAGTATAGAAAGTGTGGAAGCAATTCATTGTCCTTCTTCATATGGAATAAGTATGGAGCATTTAGATGGTTGGAAGATTGTGTAAGTATCGTTTAACCGAATAGTTGCGCATTTTAAGTCATGATCTTCTCTTGACATCTTTTCAAAAGTTATTCTGGCGATACGCGTCCTTGCGATGACCTTGTGCGTGTTGGAAAAAATGCTACGCTATTAATTCACGAGGCAACATTTGAGAATGACTTGATCGAAGAAGCACTGAACAAAAAACATAGTACGACAGAGGAGGCTGTAAAGATTGGTGAACGGTAAAAATGTTTTCAGTAATGAGCATTAATTTGTTCCTTGTAGAAATGTGAGATAACTTTTCTTTGATATGCTACTAGTATGAATGCACGTTTTATATTATTGACACATTTCAGCCAAAGATACCCCAAAGTACCTGTTTTCACTGATGATCACGGTAAAGTTGGAATTAGTTTCGATTTTATGCAGATAACTATTGGTGATTTGTATAAGGCTCCAAAGTACCTGAAAGCAATAAAACTATTGTACAGTGAAGACAGTGAGGAAGCCAAAGATGAAGAGTATGAATAATAATTTTCTTACACTCTCGCAACTTACCCTTTCATAAATATAACTGTTATATATTCAAATAGTCCATTGCATATTAAGAAAGGCTATCAATATTCTTTTATAGTATAAATATCATACCCAATATACTGTACATATATCAAATTTGATTTATTATTGCTTATTGTGAATAGTATCTAGTCGTTTAAGTATTGGTCATTCAACAATTATTATAATTTCAGTGTCGTTTTTTCATTATTTTATTAAATACATTATTTATAAAAAATTTATTAAAATCAATAATATAAACATGATTTACTGTATAACAAAAAACGCGTAAACAAAATACAGTATCTAAATATGTATTTTTTGTAAGTTATAAATGTAAATATAGTATATACCGTATATTCTTTGATACTGTTTATTCTAACATCACCAAAGATTAAAGTAAACGTTATTTATGATTACTGTAAATTTCAAGTTAATTATTTTTATATCAGTCCTTGAGTTAATTTTAATATCCGATCTTCAAATCAAGTAATTTACTATCTATATAAGGGATTAGCTCGCTTTTATAGAGTATCTCCTCATAAGAATGTGTATTTACCGTATTTTCCATATTCTTCATTACTTCATCGGATTTTTGTAAAATAATTAAAATATTTTCATCATTTTGCCATGTAGTAAGGATTTCATAAATTTCCTTTGCAGGTGGACGATTTTTTGGATCTTTATCCCAACATTTTTTCATAAGATCTATGTAACACTGCGGTGTACCCTTGACGATTGGAGGTCTTAAGCCATTCTGTACTTGAATTTGAAAGTCTAACTTAGTTGAACAGAATTTATCGAAAGATACTGCATTTCCTGAAGAAATCTCCCACATAATTATGCAAAAAGAGTAAATATCTGATTCCATGGTATATGGATTACCACATAAAACTTCTGGAGCTATATATGGTAAAATTCCATAGACTCCATTAGATGAGGTTTTCATATTACTCGATACCGAAAGACCTAGGTCTGAAATGTATCCACTATTTAGACTCACTTGTAGCATGTTGTCACTATGCAAATCGCGGTGAATGTAGTTTTGCAAATGAATTATTTGAAGATCGAAAGAAATGCAAAGCAATAAATTTATCTTTTCTTCCCATTCCAATTTTGGGATGCGATAAAGATTCTTATATAAAGATCCCATAGACACGTAATCCATGACAAGAATGTAATCTCCTGAAATATTATCCCTCAATATCCCATAGCATTGAATAAATAGAGGATTTTCATAGCCAATCTCACAATATGCCTTTAACTTTAAATAAAATGAATTATGTTAGATAGAAAATATGATGACATGACGAACGAATTATTATGATATTTACCTCTTTAATGAACTCCTTGTGGTTATTCCCCGATCCGTGAAGTAGTTTGAGTGTAACATTAATTTGTTTCCCTCTACGTTCAGCAAAAAAGATGGTCGCAAATCCATCTCGTCCTTTCTCTTCAATATTTTCAAATTCTTCATAAGGAATCCAGGATAATGAATATTTCTTTTCATCGAGTATTTCTTTTAATTCTTCTTTGATACCGCAATTTTCATGGGTCTGATTACTTGTAGCTACAAATGTTTTTAATATTAATACTTAATATATGAAATACAAAATAACGTTATTAATAATTACCTAGTAATCAATTTTTCTGTCTATACCAATGAGTAGCCATTTGTGAATTTCTTTCTACTCCAACCCCATTCCGATAAAAAGTAGCAATTGCATACATTCTGTCTACGTCACCCATCTCAGCAGATTTTTGATAATATTCGAATGCCTTATGTTCATCTTTTTCAACACCGTTGCCATTGTAGTAACCATTGCCAGTATTAAATACACCGCTCGCATTCCCCATCTCAGCTGATTTTTGAAAATATTCGAATGCCTTATGTTCATCCTTTTAAACTCCGATGCCATTTTTATAAAAATACCCAATATCATTTGATCCTGTTGAATTCCCCATATCAGCTGATTTTAAGCAATATTCAAATGCCTTATGTTCATTTTTTTCAACTTCAATTCCATTCTTATAACACCAACCGACACTACGCATTCCACCAGCATCACCCATCTCAGCAGATTTTTGATATTTGAATGCCTTATGTTCATCCTTTTCAACTCCAATTCCTTTTGAGTAGAAAATGGCGGTATTAAATGCACCATCCGCATTCCCCATCTCAGCAGATTTTTGAAAATATTCGAATGCCTTTTGTTCATCCTTTTCAACTCCGATGCCATTTTTATAAAAATACCCAATATCATTTGCTCCTATTGCATTTCCTATATCAGCTGATTTTAAGCAATATTCAAATGCCTTATGTTCATTTTTTTCAACTCCAATTCCATTCTGATAACACCAACCGACACTACGCATTCCACTAGCATCACCCATCTCAGCAGATTTTTGATAATATTTGAATGCCTTATATTCATCCTTTTCAACTCCGTTGCCATTGTAGTAGCCATTGCCAGTATTAAATGCACCGTCCACATTCCCCATCTCAGCAGATTTTTGATAATATTCGAATGCCTTATGTTCATCCTTTTCAACTCCGATACCATTGTGATAGCAATAGCCAACATTGTATATTCCACACACACAGCCCATCTCATCAGATTTTTGATAATATTCGAATGCCTTATGTTCGTCTTTTTCAACACATCTACCAAAGCGATAACAACTTGCAAGAATATTTTGCGCAGTAGAATCTACTTCATTATTTAAGCACCAGTTAATAATGTCCTTCGGTTTTTATTGCTTTTTTACTAAATATTGAAAAATTAAGTCAAGAATCAAATTGTTATTTTTTCCCTTTGACCTTTCTTCGACATACAGGTTACATATTTCATCAAGAAAATTTTGCGCCTTATCATTGTCGCATGAAGTGTTAACGATTATCTTTTTATCCGAAGTATCCATGTCAGTACTTTTCTGAGTAAAAAGCTATGCTATGTGAACTGTAACTGTGCTGTGTTATGGTATTTTAGTTGTACACCAGTATGCATGGTAGCTACGGAGAATAACATCCGGTTTGCACGTGTAAAATACAGTATACGTATTTGTAATTTAAAAATTTTTGCATTTTTATCTTTGAACTATAATAAAATTACACAAGTGAAAATGCCTAATTTTTGTATTTAATTAACTAATATTTTAGGGACGGCGATCAAATTAGCGAAAGATAACGTGAAAACCTAATTATTAATTAATGATATGCATAAATTTTATATTGTTAGTCTTTGACTTATTTTTTTTCCTATCAATGCCAACTTTTTGGTGATTTTCCTTTGATGCATTCATAATAAAGTCAAAATAAAAAAACTTTCTAAAAATAAATGAAGTATTGCTTGGAAATATTTCTACTGTTGTAAAAATCTTAAATTCACATTACTTAAATGGATGGGAAAAATTACATTCTGCTTTATGAAAAAGACAATTATGTTTCGATTGATTGTTTATCATGAAGATTATAATTGAATAATTAATTGACTTTTTAATAAATTACATAATTTGAAATATCTATCCACCCACTCTTTCTGTTGAGTCGATCAATAATTAGTATTTCATAATTTTTCTAGTAGTTAAAGTTATCGTATTATTAAGAAAACCTTTAAAAAAAAATCTATAATTCATAATTTTTTAAAAAAATCTTATATTTATATTTGCAAACATAAAACAAGTATAAGATATAAAACTTTATTGATAAATTTAGTATCTAATTATTATAAAAACTACTATTTGAGTTAACAGTAATATATAATAAATTCAATATGATTACATAAATAATTAAACATTATAATAATCAAATGATTAATATTTATTTTATTAATAATAATTTATTAAAATACGAATCTAAAAACTATATATAGATATAAAACTTATAATAAATCTATAATATAGTAATAGTATTTTCAAGTTATCAATCACAAAATCACAAGTTCAATATTATACAGGTATCAACAAAAATATTTTTAATTAAATAATCTATAAAAGTTATATTCAATTATTTTTAAAATTATTTTTTATTAAGTTAGATTAAATAAAATATTATTCCAATTTTTTATCAATTAAAATTGAAATATATGATTATATTATTAAAAATATTGCATAAAAAGATTTTTTATTTAACAAAAAATTGCCAAAAACTCTTTCTGCTAATTCTCAAAATTTTAGAAATTTCCTTTTATAGTAATTTTCTAAAAGAAAAAACTTTTTCACAAGAAACAACCTCAAGAAAAGATAACAATAGCAATAACTCCTTTCTCCTTATAATATACACTTGACTCCTGACAACAAGGAAGGGTCTATACTAGTCAATAACAATATTCGTATATTTCTATTTTGCTTAAGGAAGAAGAGAAAGCAAGGACAAACTGATTCACAATAGGCTTCTTGAGATCCAACATCCATTTCACAGAGCTCTTAACCAGACCAGTGCAAGTTAACATATTTCTAGGCATTAAGAGAGATTCTAGAAGCAATAATCCAAACTGATAAATCAGTTCAAAGTCAGGGCTCCAAAAACCTAGAAGAACATCCAGATCTCTTGGGTCAAATAGTAAAGATCAGTATTAAACAATCACAACAACTGAACTATCAAACTCACATTATGTGAATATGAATACATAAAAGTAAATATAATCTAGCCGTGACAAAATAACAACTCAAGACATGTTAACATATCACAAAGAAGTAATACATGTCAATCAGACCATATCAAGAGCAATAAACAAGTAATACATATGTAGATAAACAGGATCAATACTACAACTTAAACATATATAGAAACAGCATATTAATACAAATCATCTAATCACATAATCTAAAATAGTATTGTATTTACAGATTAGTGTAAAGAAAAACAACAAAACATTAAAATAACCTGATACACATAATAGTTTATCCACCTTATGTGACAATATGACACAAAAAGAGTAAAATATTATTAAAATTTTAGAACAACGTAAGCAAGA